TTTGCAGAATATAAAAAAGAAAACAATTTGATACAAACAGCAGTCTATATATTCGTAATACCATACCTGTTCTATCCCAATACATTTATATTATTATGCCTTCCTTGCATTGAAAACACTCAAATTTCAAGAAATACGCGCTAAAATTATCAATATTTCATGCAAAAAAACTGCTTTGAGAAACGTTGGAAATTTTGTAATATATTAATAAAAAAGAGTATGTCAGCAGAAGATGACATATTCCTCGCGGAAGCATCGCCAATAGCCGACCGAAAAAAATAGTAGAAAATTCAAAATATCGATAACTACGTGTGACGTTTCTAACGGGGGGGGGGGGGGGGGTTCCAAAGAAACGAACATATGACGTTTCTCATGGACAAAATCGATATGTGAGGCTTCCCTTATCAACCACATACAACAGATTTATAGTATATACACATTTCTATACCTATAGTAAGTGAAATACTGTATTTATACAAACTATTGAGTAAAGCTAAAACCACCGTAACCCGATATTCTATATAAATCGCACGTGTATATGGTTTACTTTAATTTAAAACGTAAAAAATGAACATGTTAACAATGAATAACAGAACCTAAAAACAAGAACAGTGCCAGTGGCAATGCATTTGTATGAATCTACAGGTGATCAATGCCAAGTGAGCCATATTTGAGTGCAATGTTCATATGCCTTTCAAATTGGTCAGCACGATGCATGGTAGGCAGCGGTAAAGAGTTAAAACAAGTTTCTGCATAAGGCAGCTTGCTTGTCCCATCGTCAAATTTTACCAACAGCGTGCCCCCTCTGGCAGGCAAAGTGTTGGTACCACTCCAAAAACACAATAGGTCAAGTAAACATGGCTGGTCTAAAACAAAGATTTATAAAAAAAATTAGCACATAGCACGACGCCCCCCCCCCCCTCAAAAAAAGGAAAACCTCTCCCCTAAAAATTTGCCACAAGATAATTAAACACTTTGCAAATTGCACTTCGAATATGGAGAAGTGTGACTGCAGTTCTGCGTGATATATTAAATTAAGAGTTTTATGTTCATTATATAAAGGACAGTCTTTGAAAAGCGACATTTTTTACAGAAAAGAGATAATTGAAAAGCGATAATTTTCACATGTGAGATTATCATAAATAATCTCACATGTGAGATTATCACTTTTATCAGTGCTCGAAATCTCTATAAAACACTATACTTTATATAACAAAACACGATAATTACCTCGTTTGCTTTTTTGTCAATGCAAATGTCAAGAAAATGTGTATTTTAAATTTTTTTTCTACATAATCACCTAGTATGAATTTTATACTAAAACAAATGTTCACCCTATTAAACACGGTGATTATCGTTACAATTACATCGACTTCATCTCAGTTTTTATTCACCGATAATCACCTTGCCTTCAACAAATATTGTCAAATACCTACCGTCTGTGTATTTTGCGAGAAAATCTAAGTATAGGTAAAACATAGCAATGGTGTCTTCTTTTCCTCCCGGTTCCTCGAAAATTATCACTTCCTTCATCTGGTCGACTGATACTTTTTTCATACAGGACATTGGAAAAATAGTTTCGATAGTACTCAATCCAAATCCACCTAAGAATGAATGCAGTCCATCCTCGTTCATACCTATAAATATAAAGCATTTGAGTATATAATGTTTTATCTTAATGATAATAAATAAAGATTTTGTGACACATTTTGGATTCTTATGCATTTAATACAGTACAATAATATACATTGTACCATGTACTAGGGTCTTAGCTAGAGGGCCGTGTTATCACGGCCAAAAATGGAAAAACACGCATAGATAAAATGAACGCGGCTTCATTATTTATATAAGGCTGTGTAGGTTCATAAAATAAGGTGTTACTGCTTACAACAGACATAATTTCTTCCTATATTTACCGTCGTAAGAAAGTTTGTATAACGTACTGTAGTTGTTGAAATTTACAAAACTGATCCGTGCATGTTGTTGTTATGTTTTGATGGATATGTTACGGTAAAATGGTTTAAAATACCCCCAGAGTTGCTGAAATAACTTAATATTTTAATGTCAGTGCGCAATATGAGCGTATGCTTGACTTGTTTGGTTCCAAAGCATAGAACAACCACAGGCATTGTCTGTTGTTGGCGAGCCAACAATTGACATGTGCACACCTTGGTCAATTTAGAAACACGCCAAAGATCTAAAATCCTAGCTAAGATCCTGCCATGTACTGGCTTAAATGTTACCAATAATACTTAAAAACCAGTCCAACTACACAGCTTCTATTCACATTGCCTTCCATCCTCTCGCAACAATGTATAATTACCTTTTGCTATTTCATCCAACTCCCTTCTGCGCTTATCGATGACAAAATAAAGCATCAGGCCTTGGATCGCCAGGTTCCACTCCGCATTAATTCGGTCAGCATCAATCCCTGCCTCAATTAAGTATGGCATTAAGTTTTCCTTTAGGTCATCTGATGGTGTTTCGTCGGGTGCGAGGTTATGGAGCTGAAGCAAGAACATATTAAAAATACATATTATTAGAGACCCTGTAAATGGAGCAATAACCTCTGTAGGGTTAACCTGTCATTTATGACTACGTTTGTAGTCATGACGGGAGTCAACTATTTTCTGTGGTTGTAAGATAATAAATATATATCACTACAACGCTCATAAGCCACGCTCTTTGCATGGGCTATGGCAAAGACCCTGGTCGGGGCTGGTCACCAGACCCGCCATATTTTGGCGGATTTGCTCATTTGTTTCGTGGATGCGACAATAAGTCAATATTGTAGTAAACATTAATATAATTAAAATAACATTAAGTTCTTTGTATGATTGCATGGCGATAAAGTATAATTGTTTATTAATTGTATATTAATTTTAAATGACGCGAGCCAACAGATCACGACACTTTTGTATATAAAAAGGGCGTGTGAATTAAACAAGTCACATATTATTAGCACTGATGAAGATCCGGGCTTACGGATCGAAAGCTTTGCAGTGATAAATTTACGTGGTGTTTCCACAAAAAAAACCCAATTAAAATAACATTACAACACAAAACATATTAGTTACTATCTTTTCCCTGAAAAATAGCGAATCCGCCGAAATATGGCAAGTCACATGACCAGATAGCCCTAGCCAGGGTCTCCCAAGAGAGGCCCGTCTATCCCCAAGAGAGACCCTGGTTCCAAGTTGATATCACTCCGTATCAATTATCTTCTTTTCTTGTATTTATTATTCAATATTCATGCTGTTTTATGGCAGATACTGTACTTACCTGCGATATATACTGCCTTAGTTCAATGTCGGGTATATCTTCAATGACAATTGGAAGAGCTTGAGTGGCAGTTTCGTCTTGGTCTCTTGGTCTTACTTTGTTTCCAGTTGCAGCCCAGTACTGTTTCACTGCTTTCGATAACCCATACATAAATGGGCCTCCATGGAGAACAGAATGACCAATAATGCGACCCACTTCTCTGAATGCTCCAGTACATCTGAGTGTTTGTTCATGAACGGGTAATTTATGATCATCCTCGCCCTCGAAGAATATTATTGGCTTTCCTTTCGAACCAATTCCTTCCTGCACAATTTTCATTGCAATTGCACATAAAAGAAATTCACGGATTGGCCCACTCCCTGCACCTTCTTCGCCTTCAAAGCGAACTCGCATTTTAGCCCTCAAGTTACAATCATGTTGTTTGTAGCAACCTAAAATGTCCCTTTTCAAATCTTCCAAACCTTCTTCTCGTGATACGAAAAAATGCTGTCGTTTTGCTGAACCATCCAAGTTGTCTTCTCTGAATTTGTCAAGTTTGGACTGCACAGGCGCATCGTCTGATTCCCGTATAGATTCGACGACCAGAGGTGGCAGAATATCGGGGAAAACGTCATCTTCTAAGCCTGTTAATTTTATGAATGAGAATTTACGAAGAAAAATTTGGTCAAAAATGAATTATTGTAAGCATGTATATTGTACTGTACCTAAAAGATCTTGCGCAGCAGCATCTAAATTTCCATTTGCATTATTCAGAGCAGTTTCAATCTCTGCTGAGGTTGCACTAGGGACCAAATCAGCTAATGTAGTCTTCTCTGGAGAATCCCTAATGTAAAATAAAAATGTCAAATACAGTATATTTCAGCCGCCCTCCCTTGTCCGACATTAATGTCCGAATTAGGGAATTCTAATATTAATTATATAATATATGCATGTTGTTAAATAGATATAGATTAGTGTATTTAGAAATTGTAATTTTTGTTATATTCACGACCCTGTCAGCTTTTATTAGATGTACATGTATCTTCAATCAATCAGTCGCACGTTGAGCAAATGCATCAAAACTCCCGTAGTTTACCCTATAGATTACACCATACCTTACACTCCCATTGCTACTCTTTGTGTCCATGTAAGTGTCCAGTGTTCTTCTCTTCTTTTCCTTAAATTTTTAGACAGTTTATTATGTATAATTTACACAACTGATATTAAAGGGAAGAATTTAAAGTTAAAAAATGGAGTGTATAAAATTTACCTTTGGTTTGCTATCATGCACTAATTGATGATGTTTTGGGACAGCACTCATTTTCAAAGCTACGTAGCAGATAATACAATTGACCATTGGTTCATCGGGTTCATTGTCACTGCAATCATCCTAATTAAAACAAGGAGAGTATGTATTAATTGGCAATGTTTACAAAACAAATAACAAAGGAGTTGATGGCCAACTAACTCTATCTACAATGAAAAGCATGTATGTCATTGTCTAGAAGTTACAGTGCATCTACAGTAAGTGGGGCCATTTAGAGAACATTAACCAATCGTATTGCAGGACAAAATTGAAAAAATCAACAAACGACCCACAACTGTTAGCTAGTCCCTGTGTAACAAATTAGATTCTTCATTTAGATACTCATTTCGTAATGTTTGCGCTCTCTACTCTGGTTTAAACAAACGTAGCGAGCGAAAACATGACCGATATTACAATTGTTTGCCTTGAGCTCGCAAATACGAACTATAGTTATATTTTATAGTTGTGTCACAACATAATAACGTCGATGAACTATGCTGTATTCACTTCAACTGTTTATAAGCCATTGTATAACATGTGCGTGTCGTGAATACCATCTACAAAATTCAGGGGGGCGATAATTTAAGATTTTTGTTTGTACGTAACTGGTACTGTACTTCAATGATAATTACCGCGTATAGGCTTGTACAAACTTGATACTCAATGTGTGCGTGGTCTTGAAAATATAGTACATAAAGTATAGTTTCGTGAAAGGTATTCAAAACTACGAGTTAGAATAATATGAGCAAACTTCACTACAGCATTCCTCAGTCCCATCAATCCAATCATGTTTCATTCCAAGGCAGTTATGACATGTCAGACTTACAAATATACCGAATACATTACGGTTTTTAATACCCTGCCAGGTTTGGAAAGGTCATGTGCTACCAGCAAAAAGTAAGTACACATCATGTGGTACTAACTGTATAGAGGTATCACTTCAATAGAAAACCTGTTAACCCATTAAGCGCCAGCGCTCTCCCCTTGACGAGTAAAATCGTCTGGATTTAGACAGAGTAAAATACTAAAGTGGGGTGCATCAGGTTGCAATGCGACTCAATGGGTTAAGGAGGCAATCTACACTTTTTAAAAAGTGGAAGGTTTTCTGATTTGGACATGAATTTATGAACAATAATTATTTGTTGAAAAGCAAATAGTGTCTGACTTCATTAAAACAATATGGTAACTAAGAAGTTTGGAGTCTTTACTCCTAACAGCCATTGCTATGGCAAAATTGGCAATAGTTTTGGTTTTAATTCAACAATAAGATCTGTGACCCCAATTTCTTATTTTATAGCATGATTTCTTTTAATATGTTGAATCATTTTCGTGATTTAAAAAAAAATTCTGCCATCCAAAATTTTTTAAGATCGGAAAGTGTCACTAAATCACAATTTGTAATAATTTTTTTCGCACGACAGAATTTTTTAAATCATCATCTTTTTATGAAATAACAAATCGGCCATATTGAAGCATCATTGTTGCCATAGCAATGGCAGTTGCAATACCTTTTTCTGAAAAAATCCAACTCTGTAGTCTAATCGAGCTTTCTTTGTCTTTCAACATACGGTATAGGAATTGTTGAAAATTTGGTCTAATTCAGAGAACGTCTTCCCATTTTCTAGTAACATGTAGGGAGCCACCTTAAGCAGTTTTTATTGTGCATTTCAATCTGGCCACTGTGCTATTAGCAAGTACTCTAAACAGGGGAATTCACTCTCCCTGACATTAAATTTCAATAAGTCTTCAAGGCGCTTCCTAAGAACATTAAGTACTGAAAAATCCCAAGTGAGACCTCTGTATGTAAATACTCTGTGGTTATTCTTAATACTTACAGGTGTTGTTTCTTCTCCAGAAACAGCGTTCTGATATGACTGATTATTTCTTGTCTCTGTATTCTCTAGTACACGCTTACTAGCTTGACTGGTGAGATTAAGAGTTGATTGTCTATATCTCCTTGTTCCTCTTGAATGACTGCGACTACTTGAGCTTGTAGACATACTAGGCTTCATCTTCAGTTCCGTTGCTATTCTCCGATGTTTCATCCAATTCAAAAAGTTCATTGAGTGCCCACACCTTCAATGCCTTACTTGCCCGTACATAAATTGGACCTTGCTTACACATAGCATGGATATTTTCACCTGAGGGCTCTTTATTTAGATACAAATTTAGAGGACAAATATTTTGTCCAATGCTTTTCACAAATTCAAATTGAACAAATTCACCCTGTTCATCCTCTAATTTCTGCACAAGAGCACCACCGATCTTTAACAAAAAGAAAAGTTATAAAGTAACATTAACATGGAGAAAAGATAAACGACAAATTTGCAATCCTGAAATTTGAACTCCAATGTTAAAAATTTACCTGAAGTGTAATAATTACATTATGTACTGAAATTTTCATATTTACTTTTATAATATAGCATTTGTAAATTCTGAGCGCTGATTGGCTAAGAGCCGTGTTGATATAACTCAATGTCAACACAGGAAATTTTCCGCTGCTTGCAAACACGGAAATTTTTCTTATCCTTCGGGCTTTTGACATTGTTATATTATAAAAAAAATATAAAACATTTTTTCCGTATTGATATATAGTAACTAAGAACCGTGTTGATATAACTCAATGTCAACACAGGAAATTTTCCGCTGCTGGCAAACACGGAAATTTTTCTTATCCTTCGGACTTTTGACATTGTTATATTATAAAAAAAATATAAAACATTTTTTTCCGTATTGATATATAGTTATATCAACACTCGTGGAAGTTGGGAAAACTCGAAATTGTATGAAAACACTCCGCCCTTCGGGCGTCGTGTTTCCATACAATTTCTCGTTTTCCCAATTCCACTCGTGTTGATATAACTGTATATCAACACGGAAAATGTTTTATATTTGTTAAATGTCACTTTTGAAATAGTTTAAGGTTCTGGTAGGGTCCTAACCATTGGAGTTTGGTCTCACAAGTACTTTTATCTCATGTTGCCATAATGCAGTTTGGCCAGTTACCACTGTAAACCAGTTGGAAACTTATCCTTTCAGTACGAAGACTGAATCTTCTGAATTTTGGCAGTCATGTTATAAAGTTTCGATATTTTTATCATTGGACACATGAGTGGCAGCACTTCCTTGACAAGTCAAATTATTTCAATTAATTTATTGAAATTGACGATTTGGTGTAAATCAGGCAGACCTTTATTAGATAATGAACCATATAATTTGCTAGTTATATCACATTGCTCAGCAATTGACAATATGCATTTCAACAAAGCCATGTGACCTTGTATTATATCTGCCAACAATGCCCCAAGCCAAATTTTTGTGAAATATGAGGGGGCAATTTTAGAGGGGGCTTCCCTGCAGGGCCGTAACGAGCGGGGGGTGTAACACTGCCCTGATAATTGCTCATGTGGGCAATTTCAGGTAAATTCAGGTAGAATTACAGAAGAAATTCAGGTAAATTAATGGAATTCAGGTAATTCCTAGTACAAGAGAAAGTTAATTTACAAAAATAACTGTGAATTTGGTAAAAATTAAGGCTGATTCAACTTTGATTAACCCATTGAGCCACAATGCGCCACACTTATATTTTTTTACTTGTCTAATGCCAGACAATTTTACCCGCCAATGGAGAAGCTCTGCAGTTTAATGTTTAAATAATATTTGAAAAATATGGTATCAACATTAGATGATGTCCAACCAATCCCAGGGGGTTCCAAGGAAAAATATTTTAAGATTTTTGCATAATATTTGCATTGCAAACAAGCAAAATCCTTTGTCAATGTCATCCAACATGGCAACAGTGGGCCATCCATTTAATATACACCCCCTCCCCCCCCTATGGACGAGGTCAATAAAATTTAAACCCCTAAGAAAAAAATATCAAAGTGCCGACACAAGCACCCTCTCAGAAATTAAGAAATTTTTGCCTTACCCCTCAGAAAAAACGCAAAGATCAAAGGGTGCTGATGCAGAAAATAACAAAATAAAAAATTACCTTCAACCGCAGTTGCTTATCATCCCATGATTTGTCAAAGGGAAAGCCATCAATTATTAAACCAAGTTCTTGCAGTTTCCGCTTATTCTCAAAACGGGGCACTTGGGTATACGTTGGGGATGGAAGCAGAATTAACTCTTTCCTGTTCAAAACTGTCTCCTTGACCTTGGATTTACCAGACTTGCCTTTCTCTTTCCCTTTGGCTACACTACCGTGCCCGTAGTTTGCTTGTGGATTGTATCTAGGCCTTGAATTATAAAAACTTGGACGGTTTCCTTGTTGTGGTCTTTGCTCTTGTCCTAGTAGACCTAGTTGCCCACGGCGTGGCAAACTAAATCGCTGTGACATTTCGTCTTCTACAGAGGCATTATTTATAGTAGCACAGGTTCCTGGACTAGGCCTTTCTTCTCTTACGGACTGCACTGAGTCATAAACCCTTCTAACGATTGCTGTTATGGTTGACTCATTTAATTCCACTGGCAGAGGTGACGGCCTGTCCGCCATATTTAGACTGATTTACATTAGCGCGGTAACCACCGCGTCGTTTATGAATGTTTATAGATCAGTGTTAAGTCAATGCTTCCACCCCCCCAAAAATAATTTCCTTCCCAGCTGCTCAAAATATATTTACTTTTAAAAAAATTCCTTATACTAAAAGTTGATGAATTTTACCTAGTTTAAAACAAAAATAATGGTGTTTCTCGGGCCAGAAGGATCATGGACGTTGCAGGGGACGGATTGGAACTGTCTAAGATTATCTATGAAATGCGCCATCTTTAATCGCTATATTATTGTTTACATAAATATTTGGTCAGCGGTATAATTAAACGGTCAAGAAGTACTTCATTAAAGCATGCACAAATCTTGATATATGAATCTTGACATATATATGAATCTTGACATACATATATGAATCTTGACATACATATATGAATCTTGACATACATATGAATCTTGACATACATATATGAATCTTGACATATACATATGAATCTTGACATATATATATGAATCTTGACATATATATATATGAATCTTGACATACATATACGGTTTTTGATACATATATATGAATATTAATACATATATATCAAATTTTGACATACATATATGGATCTTAATATATATATATGGATCTTGATGTTTTGTCCCTTTTTAACAAGCATATACATGCATGGTTGCAGATTTCGTCCTGAAAATATCTATTTTAGCTTTATCCTCAAAAGTATCTATTTTAGATTTAGCTAAATCAGATGCTGTTCATACTTAGGCATAGAACCAATTTATTTTATTTCAAATAGAAAATTAATATGAATGCTTGGCGAATGTTCTACTCTGTAATTTTCGTGCAATGTTTGGTGTTTCCTCTTGCAAATGCTTCGCTGGCTTGCTCGTGTTTTTCATCGTCATTCTCAAGAGCAATTGGTTATATCCTTCGAGGATTTCTACTTGGCGAAATGAAAGTAGCTACAGTGATTGAATGCAAGAGGCGTTGTGTCATCAGTGCCAACTGTTTATCTTTGAATATATTAACTAACGGCGATGGAAGCTTTATGTGTCAGTTGAACAGTGACGTGAAGGAAAACGGAGTTAAGGAACAGTTTGTACAGCATGGGTCTGGGGAGTACTATGGCTTGAAGGTACGTCCAGCAAAAGTTTAGAAACGTAGTTTCCGAGAAACATTTCTTGCGGTGTCGGGAAAACATTTTTGGCAAAGCATATTAGCACACTATGAAACACCAAGCCCGCAAAACAGGCGTTTTGGTTGGGGGCGAAGTAAACGCCTGCAGCCATCTCCAGCAGAAAAAAATAATGCGTTCGCCAGCGAACGCGTTGTACTAATTGGTCTACGACAATTAGTACTCTTTACTTCCGGTAACGTGATATTACAATTTTTTATCTTGTTTATGCGTGCCAAAATCACAAAATGTCCACATTGGAAGATTTCGAAAGTACACTTTTGCAAGTTTTAGCGACTCCCGAAATACTACGATTAGTTTTAAGGTGGCACCCTACAGTTTCCAATATATATATATATCAGTGTTTTAAACTAAAAGCTATTTGAATCTAAAAAAAACTAAGTTTTTGCACACGCCATTGTCTTCTCTTATGTAAAAAGTAATTTTAACCGACAATCGCTATTCTTCATGTTACCATGACAACATGACGTCACATACTATATGGCCTATATCAACCAAAAAACCCGTCTTAGCGGACAAATAACCACGGTGACATACCTTTTTTATTGCAGAAAATACATGGTTATGAAGTTTTGAATTTTTTTGAAGGTTATTGTTGAAATCCCCAGTGTAGTTTTCGAGAAACTGAATTTCAGTCTTTCCACAGGCTAAAATGCAATCTTAAAGGCTGAAATTCAGTTTCTCAAAAACTACACTGGCGATTTTCAAATAACTTTCAAAACAAATTCAAAACTTCATAACAATGTATTTTCTACAATAAAAAATATAGGTGTCCGCGGTTATTTGTCCGCTAAGACGGCTTTTTTTGTAGTCAGATATAGGCTATATAGATGGTGACGTCTTGTTGTCATGGTAACGCGAAAAGTAGCGATTGTGGGTTAAAATTACTCTTTAATATAAGAGGAAACCAGGGGCGGATCTAGGATTTTTCGCACGTTAGTCAAAAATCTATGACGTCATCGATGACGCAAAACGTGATGACGTCATTTGCCATGACGTCATTCGATGTCACGATCATAGAGATTATAAATAACACTAGAGGAAGCATTGTAATCTTAATTCAGTTAAAAAAAGGGAACGCGACTATTGGGGGGCAAATTCAAGTACCGGATGTGTATTTGTGTTCCCATTGGTGACGAGTTTCAAATCAGCCAATGAGAGCACGATTTTATATCCGGGACTTGAATTTGCCCCCCATTAGCTGCGTTCCCAATTTTTAAACTCGATGCCTCCTCTAGTGTTATTTATAATCTCTATGGTCACGATGATAGTCCAATTTTCGTGGGAGTATAGATATTTTATTTTATCAAACTACAAATCAACCTCGTTCCCAGGGTATTTGCTCTTGGGAAGCAAAGACCCTGGTGGACGCTGGTCACGTGACCCATAGAAAATTGATAGCCTCAGAGGGGGATGGAAAGGTCTCATATTACATGTTTCCACTTCCGCACTTCACACTTCGATTGCAAGGAGTGGCCGTGCTGCCGGGCAATAATCTTTGTAGCCTGCTCACAGGCTCTATTATATAGAGCCTGCGACTTTTATTGATATTTTTTCAATACGCCCCCTTTGAGATAATTGAATATCCGGTAAATAGTAGCCAATCAAAGCAAGTTTTGTTAATTAGATTACCAGAGGTTATTAACAACAACAAACAGTTCTCGCGCAATTTTACGCCTGTATCTTTCACTAGGATTCCAAGGTCTAAACTTTAATCTAAAATAATTCATGGTCGTTTTTTCCCTAAAGTATTCTAATATTTAAAACATAGTCCCGTTTGTATATTGCTGTCTTGTTCGTACATTGCCGTTTAAATTATGTAACTATACTACAGAGACGTAAAATTTTACTCTCTATTAGTTAATGTATTTTATATATTTATATCCAAAATATAACCGTAAGATTTAAGGAAACGTATTTAGGTTTTGAACAAAGTAACAAACACTATTTATTAAAAGTGTCGAACAATAGCAGGCTAAAAAACAACATTAATCATTATTGCGTGAAGTCTGTCATTTGCTCAATAATACAATTAACTCAATAGACAATAGACAATTTGAAAACCCGTGGCATCGATTCTGCCGTGTTTAATAACTACATTTTTTTTGTAAAAAGCTCTTGTTGTAATAATATATGTCATTAGTTGAGACTCTCAAAAATAAAGTCTCAAAGAGAGAGCGGACTTCGGTCAAAAAACACGCAAACGACTATTGCAAAATTTCCAGGTGTAAATTCAAATTGGCCAGGTGTTCTCAGAACGACTTTCTTCGACGGCGTCTGTTTTAATAATTTGCCCATTGTCTTGACTTATTCAAGACCAGATTGTTTAGGCAGAAAGCCTTGGGTTGACAGGGAAGTATTTGGGAGAAATGTTCGGAGGCATTTGACAATCAACTGCTTTGTACTAGCTGATTCACTGCCTGTGTCTCAACGAACGTCTCGCTGGGCTAACCTTAAGTTGTTCAACGTTTGAAACCGCAAGTGATGCAAACGCGGTTAGATAAATTGTCAGCCTGAACTAGACTTATTTTACTCTCTCTGCAAAGATCAGCAAGGCATACGTCGAAGTTTTCCCTTGTACTTCTTTGGAAAAGGTTTATTATTATAGCTGACGAAGACAAAGTATCGGTATATTACATGTAAACTTTAGTATCAAATCCCGTTGGAAGTACAGTTAATATTGCTAACCTTCGCTCATCCTTCAACGTTAATTTAAATTGAAAGGTTTCTCAAATACATTTAGTTACTTCTTCGAAGAGATAAACAAAGTCATGGTTTTATACGCCACGGATTGAATGCCAGCTTTAAAATTACATTGCGAAATGTCGTACGAGTTAAATATTTGCACGATATTAACTCATGGGGCACTTCTGACCAATGGGAATTTTGCGTACGCTCCGTACGCATAAATCGACTTTTTACTAATAAAGGTCGCAGGCCGTTCCTCCCATGCAGCCTCTGCCTGACAACAACGGCCTGCGAGCAGGCTATAATCTTTGAGAATCATATATTCTTCAAAATTCTTGCTAAATTGGTTTCTGTTTGCCGTTTTAAATTATACAAACATGGTAAAATGCAGATTCTTGTACTAACAGACAAGTCTGCAAATCAAGCAACGAAAACGTATGACCGTATGGTTTGAAATATTTGCGTTTTTAATATTCTCTCGGGGTTCGGGCGCAATATTTTCATTTCAATGATTTCATACGTACGTTTCTGTCCTGGCTCTGCCTCTGGTTCAGATATTTACAATATTCTTATAATATGCCATTGAATTGTTGTCATATAGAAAGGAAACGGTATAAATTTTGTAAAATAGAGGTATCAAAAGCGACTGACAAAATTGTTTGGAATCGACACTCGACAGTGCACTTTTTTGTCTTCACGACTACCTGTTTGTTGAGCCAAAATATTGCACAGAATCTCCTATAATAACTATAGCTATCGCCATTCACCCTCCCACCCTGAATGCAAAGGAATGATATCCGAAAAGATTTAGCAAAGTATTTGTTATTATATCTGGTACGAAGTGTCCCTATACGTTTTATCAGGGTATATATTTATATATACATAATTCATAAACTGTATATGCGCACCAAGTCTCGCTCATAGAATTACTTAATGAGTTTTATTAAGCCTTTTAAAGTTTCTATTGATACTGATAGATAGGTTGTTTGCTTACAGTTACGAAGTATCGTTTGGTGAAACTTCTAAAATTTCAATTACAGTTACGACACAGTATAGGGGTATATACGATAAAGATTAAAGACTTAAAGTTGATTTAAATATTGATGACTCACAGCGGCATTATACAAGCCGAAAGAAGCTGGATTTTAAGTTGGATTATTCTTCAAATAATGCCTGGGCATTAATACCAATGCCAATGAAAGGTCTTTATAAGATTTATAATGTTTACTGCAATATATGATATAATTTAGTCTAGTGCATATATCGTCCTAGATATTCAAGTTGTACCGCACGCACCGAGGAGTCTTGGCGTGTGATAACAGTATACTGTAGCTGCACTTCGACATATATCATTCTTGATCGTTGAGCTGTTTCAGCAATGTAAATAAAAGGAATAACGGGTTTAACCCTGTGCTTACTGTAATTCACAGTCAAAACAGCACTATTGTTTTTATATACACAGTTGGCGATGTTCAGTACTAAATAAATCCTTTGTTTTGAATATCGGACAGGATACATTTCAACTATAAACAACCATATCATATCGTTCGTTTTATATAAATACCGTTTGATCGATCAGTCGGTGTAGAAGATATCAGATATGTATGTTTATACGGCGATCTGATGCGTGCTCACTAGCCAGGCGCGTGTGGAGTATATTTTTCCTTGCGAGTGAAATATGATCCAGCTTCTCGCTTGAAATGTACCGCAGCACTTATTATTGATGACATTCAATATAGCAGGAAATCTTGTCATGATGAGTACGAATTTAGAACAGTATAAATCATGTTTATTAATACATGTAAAGTGAAGTATACAGCACTAATGCATCTGGCGAATGTCAACTACTACATTCCCACCCCTCCCAGATTGACAAAACAACGCTAATTAAAAATCTGCTAGATTTTAGCAGATCACGTGACCAGCGTCCACCAGGGTCTTTGCCACTGAGCTCTACTATATATATCTGGAGACCGTGCTCGCAAATCAAAAGTGTCCGCAAAAACATGGCGGATTTCGAGCTCCACGTCCACTATTCTCATGGTACGTTAACTGACCACAGCTCAAATGCGTGCGGGCGACATTTCCCACTCCCCCCTGACCAGAAAGCCACTGATCTTTATAATTTTTAAAAAAGGAGTACATTGGAGAAGATTTGAAATTAGTAAATATTTATAGTTACATATAGGTGTAAAAGGTTTCTTCTGAACTTTACCAACTAGTATCAAGTTCAAGCTGGATCATTAATTCATTCGAGCGACTATCTCCACAATTTCTGCTGTGAAATGTATAAATGATGATCCAAACAGATAATATAAATGAGCTGAACGAATGGTGGTATTTTTGCCGATGTCGCATGTATGCTTTTGGAGTATCGGTAGGTGCAGACCTACAGTATTTTGTGTGGAGCCGTAGAAAATGAGTAATAAATTACTAAATTAACGAGAAATTGAAATAATTGTCATGATGGGAAACAAACTTTTGAAATTTCGAGGACTATGGTGATTCTGTTTCCATATGTTAATAAATAAACAACAAAAGCTGAAAAGCACTACAGGTGAGGCATTTTTCAAAATTTTAATGAAACACTTGTACTGTACCATACATTCATTTATTGAAATATACTATAATTTATTACTATTGTATAATATTTCAACTCGATTACTACTTGTATATAATGCACATATCAATGGCCTGGCCCTGGGGGTACACCCCCGGGACTTTGCAAAAACATGATTCTAATGCATTAATTCCCCCTCCCTCCCCCGGGAAATGTGTAAGTCAAACTGCCCTCCCCCTGGGCTTACAATAAAGTAGTTCATAATATAAATAGCATACAAACAATTAAAAATTATTATACAAACTGGGGTATCACAATGGCACTCATGTATTCCGTATTTATTTATTCAAATTTTAGCAAGACCACTACAAAATATCATAAATAATAAGTTGCCGATCGATATTTTTCTGTGTGAGCCTGTGATTTTGAGTTCACACCAATCATGTACTTCATTTATAAAATTCAAA